TTTTGTGAGCCTCCTCCTTCGGCCTCCTCCGGGCTCGCTATTCGCGCACTGTTGCGTCGTTCTCGGGGAAATTGGCGGTGGGGCAGGGCAGGGAGGGCAGGGGGGGTAAAAATTGGATAAAGTCTCTCGAGGAAATTTGACGAGTTGGTTAGTTTCCGTTTAGCGGACATGCGCGAATCGTTTCCGAGATCGCACGCGCTCGGGAAAGTTTCTCGCGAACTAATGCTCGGCTGACGAAGCAGACGAGAACATTACTTTCTCCGATCGCCTTGAGAATCGAACGGAATTTTAATCTCGAGCCCAGCCGGGAAGGTGTTTCCTGTTTGGCAGTGGAGAGACCAAGGTGGGAATCTCCGCCGAATTTCCACGAAGAGCCGCCGCCGCCGCGCAAGCAGCGAGAAGCGAGAGCGGCGGCGTACGCGTAACTCGAACGCCGCGCGAATCAATTACGCGGCTTACCGCGCGTGCGTAAATCTGGAAAAGTATACGACCGAGGAAACCGAGGAGCCGAGGCTGCGAAATTCGCACCGTGGCAAACAGGTTTCGGGACAGCTTTGTGTCTTGAGAGCGAGCGAGAGCGAGCGGGACGGCCGATGACGCGCTTCGACACGGCGCGTCGCCGGCGTTCCGTCGGCATCATTACACCGTTTCGCCGTTTCGCCTCTCGCGAGCACCGACGAGCTGTTTCTTTTCGTTACTGATTTATATTCATGACTTTTTAGCGGCCGAAACGAGACGCGTGATTAATCGAGAGCGGCCGAAAGCGCGCGTACGTCAGATCGAATAGCCATCACCGTCCGTCCGTCCGTCCGTCCGTCCGTCTGATCGATGATTAACTGTCGATAGAGAAGCGTCGAGAGTTTCTGTCTTTCAATTACGAAAAAAGAAAGAGAGGAAGATAGAAACGGGAGTCGCGTCGCGTCGCGTCGCGTCGCAACGAATACGAAGGCGCGTATTTTTTTCGAGCGTGTCTCGGGGGAAAACATGATCGCCGAAATGACGAGCGGCTCCTTCCAGCCCTCCTAATTCCCTCCCGCCCGCTGCCCGCGCATAACAAATAACGCGGGGGGACGCGCCGGGCCATTCGTCACAGTCGCGCGCGGGCCCGCTCGAGTCTTGCTCCGCTCGCTCGTACGCACTTGCTCGGCTGAGAGGAGAGACGAGAAACAGAGAGGAAAAAACGAACGAGAGGAGGGGAGGAGGGAAACCGAAAACGTCCTCGCGTGTCTCCCCGTGGGGAGAGAGTCTCGCGTCGAAGATTACGACAGCGTGCGCCTTTCGGCATTGCCGCCGCGGTCGCGATTCGAGGACGACGAGGCGAGAATCGTCCCCGTCGTCGTCGTCGTCCTCGTCCTCGTCCTCGTCCTCGTCGTCGTCGTCGTCGAATTCGAGGGACTCGCTCGCGGACATTTTCCACGACGAGCGCGCGCGGGGCATCCGGGTTTTATGCGACGGTGCGCGCGCTCTCGTCGGCTGTTTAACTTCGACGCGTCGTGAATGGCGCTTCGCCCCGTAATTACGCTGCAGAATTTACACCGGCATAAATTACGCCCGCTGTGTATGTATGTATGTATGTATGTACGTGCGTACGTCGACGACGACGACGACGACGACGACGACGGCGACGGCGACGACCCGTGACGCTGTGCTCCACGTTGACGCGCACTCACGCGGCCGTTTTCACCTTGCAAATTAATAGTGACTCCTGCGAGCCTCTCGCCTTCTCCTTATCCTTTTCTTTGCTTTCTCTTTATTCCATTGCCTCCACCTTTCTCTCCCTCTCCTCCCCTCCCGTCTCTCTCTCCCTCTCCCTCTCTCTCTCTCTCTCTCTCTCTCTCTCTCTCTCTCTCTCTCTCTCTCTCTCTCTCTCTCTCTCTCTCTCTCTCTCTCTCTCTCTCTGCTTCTCATCCTTTTTCTCTGTTTTCCTGGCGATGCGCGGATGCGTCTATGAATCAACGTCGACCGGGACGTCGTCCTCGGGCGCGCACTCGGAAGCCGTTCGCGCGCTGTCATCCGTAATTTCATTAATTGGTTCGCCGGCGAACGTTAATCTTCCGGTTAATAAACAGCGGCATCGACAGCGCGCTCCAATTCCGCGGCGCGTTAATAAATATGACGTTTACGCGATAACGAGCAGCGCCGCCAAAATGATCGTCGCCAAGATGATGCCGCGCGTTTGGCTCTCGCGCGAGGTCGCGTTGGAGAGCGCGAAATTGCAGCGAGAGGGAAAGCTCTTTTGCGCACTTTTGCGATTAGAGCGAGCGGCACCTGGCGCGATTGATGAACGTCAACTGACCAGCGCAAAATTCAAGCTGAAATTTTGACGCGCAAACGTCGAAGAACGAACCTTTCATTTACCGAAGTTCTCTTCGCGCGTCTTGAACGCGTCTCGAGTGATCCAAGAGAGAGAGAGAGAGAGAGAGAGAGAGATGCGCAAGGAAATATCTTCAGCCAAGACAGTCTCAGATTCAGAGCGTAGTCCTTGGACACGTTGAGAGTGCCGCGGCGGCCATAAAAATGGAGGGACGCGAGCCTCGAATATTATTCGCTTATTCGCCGCGTTTTCGGCGATATTCAATCGCCGGTCGAGCCGTCGCCGCGTCAACGGCAGTCAACGTGTTAATCGTCCGTCTCTCGAGTTTTTCGCGCAGTCGAGAGAGTACCTCTGCTCGTCGGACGGCAGCGGAAGAGGGAGGAGGAAGGAGAGAAGAGCGACAGAGGGACGGCAAGGCGAAGTCCGACGCGCGGCAGCGCGATACATTGTACAGCACGTTGCGCCTCGTTGCGGCGGATGATCGCCATTAGACGAGAAAGCGATGTCTTAATGAGCCATCGCGCCGAATAATGAGGCGCCGTGGAAATGAAGTAAACGCGAGTCACCAAGTCGCTAATCTCGTTGGTGGAGCGAGCTCGCGCGAGCGACAGCCCCGACAAGTTTGAGAAACTCGAAAGCGCGCGTCTCCGTCAGCCCCGCGGTGCTGACGCGCAGCGGAACAATCCCCGCCGGTGACGACGTCGACGTCGACGTCGAGTCCCATTGTGCGGAAGGAGGAAAGAAAGAAAGAAAGAAAGAAAGAAAGAAAGAAAGAGAAACTCCGGAATCCGAGAATTTCACGCGAGCGTGTGTCGAGCGATGACACAGAGTCCTCGCTCGAATTCGAAGCGCTCGAGTCCGCGTTGGTATCATCCAGCCGGAATCTCGCGCAGCCGAGCCGGTAAAATTCAAGCGGTGGCGAATCGGCCGATCGCGTTCGAGAGAGATGAAGCGGGGATCTTCCTGAAAATCGGAGCGAAGTGACTGCGAAGGGACTCCGCCGCTCGAGATCGCACGGTGGACTCTCCGTCCAAGTGCGAGTCAAGCCAGAGTGGAGGGAACTCACTCGCATCCGAGCGGCTTGCCGTCGGAGTAACTTTTAACGATACCGTCGTTATCGTTACATCGTCGTTGCGCAGCTGCAGAATGCATGGCGGTGCGCCAACGCGACAACGCGACGCGATTAACGACACACCGTCTCGCTTGGAAACTCACGGAACAAGCCCGCTGTCACTCGACTTTTCGAGTGGAATCTCGCTCGGAGGGGGCTTCAGAGGGACCCCGAAATTGCCGATCGTCGACTGTGTGAATGCGTGCGTGCGATCGATCGATTCACTCACTCCTCTCTCTCTCTCTCTCTCTCTCTCTCTCTCTCTCTCTCTCTCTTTCGGGCCTTCGCGTTGCCCCGCACGGCACGAGAGCCTTGCGCCGCGGAGCACTCCCCCGGCGAAGAACGGCGAAGTCCCGATCCCCGGGTCGCCACCCTTAGAGTCGCGGGCATCATCCCCGCGTGAGGCGAGGCGAGGCGAGGTGAGGCGAGGTGAGGCGAGGCGACGGACAGGCGAGAATTCGCACGAGGCCGCGCGCGCGTCTCACCGGCAGACGTCGGCGAGCGACTCGACTCGGCGAGCGTCGGCGAGCGTCGTACGGCACCGCGCGGACTATCACTCCTATTCGCTCGATCGTGGGACGTCCCATCGCGTCCATCGGCCGTGGTGGGGCACGCAGCCGGTGCTAGGTCCTAGTTGCACGTGCTGGCGCGTATCCCGGGGCGAATTTTCGGCCGTCGTCGGGGTACGCGTGCACAAACGAGGGCTCCCGCTCCACCTCGGGCGCGCCTTCTCCTCTCCCGCTCGCTCCTTCTCTCTGTCTTTTCTCTGTCGCCGCTGGGACACCCGGTCTCTCTCTCTCTCTCTCTCTCTCTCTCTCAGCCTGTCGAATGGTAGGGCAGGATACTAAGGTGGTGTACGCGCGGAGGAGGCGGTGGTGGTGGTGGTGGTGGTGGTGGTGGTGGTGGTGGTAGTAGCAGCGGCAGCTCCGCGGTAAGAGCGTAGCACCTCCTGTTTCGTCCGTTCGCGGCCATACGGTTGTCGGGTGCACTTTCGTACGCGCCTCGTCGTCGTCGCCTTGACGGCCTCTCGTCGATCAGTCCGCGACAGCAGCACGCGTCTCCCGATCAGCTGTTCTCTCCGGTCTCGTCGGCAGATCGCCGATGTGCTCCGCTCGGACGCCGTTGCCCCGGGACTTTCTTCTTCCTCCTCCTCCTCCTCCTCCTCCTCTACCTCCTCCTCCTCCTCCTCCTCCGCCCCCCTCTCGTGGCCTGTCCGACCCGGGAAATCGTCCACCGATCTCACGAACCCGCTGCCGACCGCCGCGAGGAGAATCGCCGGGATGAGACGGTGACGATCCCTCGGAGTGCACACCGCGAAACAGGTCCACGGGGACGTCCACGTCGCGCTTCCCCTTACTCGGCGTCGCGCCCGCTCGGTTCCTCGTGATGTGACGTGACGTTTCATCTCGCTCCCGTGTCCCCTTCGGCCGCTTCGGAGAACGTGTGGAGATTCGTCTCGCACTTTGGGAGAGTGTGTCTTCCAGAGAGGTCTGAGCAGGAAGGAGAGAGCTAGAGAGAGAGAGAGAGAGAGAGAGAGAGAGAGAGAGAGAGACAGAGAGAGGGAGAGAGAGGGAGAGGGAGAGGGAGAGGGAACGCGCCGCGCGAAAAAGACTGTCGCATGTTCCTCCGAAGTCCCGGCGCCGCGCGGTAGTGATGGATGAACAAGGTGCCGCACTGATCGCGCGCGAGACTCGAACTAGTCGCGACGACCACCGCGCGGCGTCTCTCTCTCTCGCGCATTTGCCGCTTTTGACTCGTCGATCACACACAGCGGTGCTTCTTGATCGTTCTTGAGCCGCCGCGTACACGACGCCGGGGGCCGGGGACGTCGGGGAGGAAACGGCCGCTCTCGGAGAGAGCCGAGCCGGCAGCGCGAGATTCCCACGCGGCACCACGTGCGCCAGCAAGTCCTCCCTTTCCCTTCCCGCCGCGCGATTCCCGATTTCTGTCATCCCGCTGTCAGCCGGCTCTGACTCGAGGCCGACTCGACTCCGACGCGCACGTGTTGTGCGTGGTGTGGTGCGCGGTCCTCGCGAGAGAACGCCAGCTCCGGACGGCACTTGGCACTCCGGCGGCCCCCAGTGACATGTGCGCCGTCGCCGATTCGCCGGCGTCTAGTGCCTGAAGTGGTGTGTACACGCGAGTGCGAGCAATCCGCGGCAACCTCACCGACGCGGAGCCGTCGGCTTACGCTCTTCCTTAACGCTCTCGTGCCGGCTCAAGCTGGAGGTCATAGTAGGCATAGGGATGTTTCCGCCGCGTACGGAGGCGCCGACAGCCGACAAGCTGACGCTGTGCTACGCGCCCCACGTCGACATGACGACGGTCATCGAGGTCGAGGTGCGGTATGCTCTCAGATTTACTGTGATTACGGGACCCCTCCCCCTCGCCCGTTTCTCCCCGCGTCCCGCCGGCTCACCTCGCGGGGGGAGTCGGCAGGCTCTTCTTCCCCCCGCGGAGTTTCGCGATGCGCGTTGCTCACGTATCCAACGGGAGAGTGGATCTCGAGAGAGAGAGAGAGAAAGAGAGAGAGTTATCTCTGAGAAGCGAGCTCCCTGTCGGACCCGGGCTGCGCTGCGGAAGTCGCCGGAAAGAGGGTTGACCGGATATCTCCGGCCAGCCGAGCGCGCACGTTTTTCCTTCATTCGTCGCTTCGTCGGACAAACGTTCGCGGTTCCAGTCGGCGAAACCGACCGCGCGACGTCCGACTTCTCTCGGCTCACCCGCCAAGTGGAACACGCGTTTCTTCTCTACGTGCTAGTCGGTGTGATTCGAGTAAACGCGCCTTTTATACGCTTTACGACGCTTGGACTCTGTTTCTCGTTCGTTCGTCCGTCGCTCCGTGAGCGCGCAGCATGAAGCGACATTTCGCCGTGTGTACGTGTGTGTGTGTGTGTGTGTGTGTGTGTGTGTGTCTGCTTGCCTACGTGTTTCGCCAATCGGCGAAAAATCGCCGATGTGTCGCTATAGCGACGCCTCGACTCCGACGACCATCGCGCGCGAATATGGGTCAAAGCGCGCGCGCAAATGTATGCGGCAATTACGGCTCCTTTGCTATGGCGACTACACGCGGACACGCGGCAGTTACGTATTTTTAATTGCGCGCCCATTCAGCGTTTAATGGCCACCCTGTCAAACTTTAACTGATATTAATGCAAAGTTAGCGGCAATTATTGCGTGCTCTTTCTTCGGGGCATATCGCCGCTATAATCTCTTTTCCCTCGCTCGCGCCTGCGCCTTACCTTTTGCGCGCGCCCGCGATTCATTCGTTTCGTCATCGTTTGTATCTGGTGCGTATATGGTGGAATGTAGTTCGACGTAGTTTATATGTAATAATGTATCATATACCTCTTCTTCTCGTCCGATACATTTTTATTGTCCCACGGCTACGTGATGATTAATCGTATACGCGCGCTTCAGATTAACGCGTCGTTTTCTAAACTTGACGAGCGAGAAGCGAACGGTTGCGCCAGAATTCCGCGCGGCGGAGAGAGAACGGAATATTTATTTTATTACATTTTCTCTCATGCGCGGCTCGAGTAGATAAGCGACGCAATAAAATCCCAGTCGTGAAGCACACCGAAGGCGTTTGTGCCAAATAAAATGGCTGTTAAAAGTCGCCGAATAAAATGTGCGCGCGCCTCTCGTTCGCGCACTTATCTTTGGTATTTATTTATGTCTAATCGATCACCGACCCGTTTCGTCGTCACGTACGAAATAGCTGATCGGTTATTAATTGCTGACACATGTCATGTACACGTGGCGAGAGAGGCGCGCTTTCTCCTTCTTCAGTCTTATCAGCTATGATCTCAGTGTGAAAGCTCGGGTCTTTATGGGAGAGACCCTGTTACTTTCGTCGATTGTTCCCGAAATCTCTACCAGCCACACCCGTCGTCGATACCAGCGTGTCGACCTCTTGCTCGTCGAGGACGCTCTGCGCGACGCATCCCCAATTTTTGTGATCGAGCAGTTACGACTGCCCCCGACCACCCCGTAACTCGAAGAAGCAACAGTCAAACCGAGGAATATGTACAGTTGGTGCTTTTTGTATCTTTTCAAGACCAACAAGGTTAGGATATCTACCCTCGTTCGAAAGATACGAAGCAACAAAGAAGACCTACACTCAACGGAGTAAGCTAGAGTTAATACAACAAGTCGCTTTTGGAGGTAAAAGAAATTTCCTCCGCTATTACATTATGTTATAATATATTATATTATATTTTACATTGTATCGTATCATATTGCACCGTAATGTATTGTATTATAATACTTTATATTATATATTGTATGTCATTGTAATTATATTCATATTGTATTATATGATTATAGCATATTATATTATATTATATTGTATATTATTGTATTATGTATTATACCAAAACACAAATAAAAATAAGTGAAGTTTATCAAGTTTGTTTTATTTATGCTACCTTTCTTATTATTATATTCTCCTGATATCAAAATCCTAATCCGGAAATCGAGAATCTAGGAAAAGAAATCTCGGAATTTCGAATTTCCCGCTTAAAATCCGAGATACCTCTTTGCGGATTATGTTCTCCTGATACTAAAGTGCGAAAATCGTGGATCCAAAAGCTTAGATTTTCGGAAATCTTTTATTCTTGAGGCAGAACAGTTTTTTGCAGGACAGGTTAAAAAGAAGGGTGTTTAAATAAAGTAAAGTGTATTATATTTAAATATTGAATTTATTTTTCCGAATATATTACAATACATATACAATATATGTATAATACATATATATATATAATACGATATATATAAAAAATAAATTGAATGGATGTTACAATATGATACAATAAAACGCGCAACACGCACACACATACACGCCCGCGTGCATAATCTAAATAATACAAATGTAGTACAGTAATATTATAATCAATCATATTACACGCTCGCGCACACACATACATACATACATACATACATACGTATGTGAAGTTGGCACCTCCATTTGCGAACACGAATTTTTGTTGAACGGCCCGGATATTAAAGCGTTTAATTAACACCTAATTAGCGCTTAATTCTGGTATAATTACCATTTCAATTCTGCAATGGCGGTGCCAATCTGTAACAAAGCTTTCTTTCAAAGTTGCCGCCGGCACTGAGACGCGCGAAGGGTAAAGGCTGAACTCTTCTCCATGCCGTGTTGCTACATCGACGATTTCTTGTCGCGTAACGACATTATAATCGGAGGCCGTTCGATTCGGCGACGATCCCGAAAGCACAAGTTGCTCCGATAGGTCGTAGGCGTAGAAGCGCTGTCCTTGGCGATGACATTCGACGTGTGCGATCGAAGCTAAGAAAGAGTACAAGACAAACACGCAGCTGGATATTTAAAACACTCGTTAACACAACTTTCGTTCCATTCTGCCTGTCCTTTTACAGTCAATGCGCGCGCTACATATGTAACGAGCAATTTTATTCGTTCGCGCGCGTGATTCCTCGATGACGAAATGACACGTGACGTGTAGGACACACGTCGTAGCTCGTTGCTTTCGCAACGAGCACGCGCTACCACGGTGCTTTCGAAAGAATCACTTAAAATACAATTATGATGCTATAACTAAGCCGAGGACGATTAAAGACCTTATCTATAAGCCCTCATACTTGTCCTTCCGATAGATAGATTAGGACCGGCGTGTTTATACTCACACAAAAGAGTGTCCTCTTAATGGCTCGCGTGCACAGAGAGAACGATTTAGTTGAATCTAACAAGTGCTTATTTGGAATAGTCGAAATAATTTTTTCGATCGATCGAACAAAATTTTGTTCGACGGCAACGAAAACATTTCGTTGGAACTAAGCCGCAACAAAATAGTTTTGTTGCGCCAAACGAAACTTCGTTCGATCGATCGAAAAATTTATTTGGACTATTCCAAATAAGCATTTGTTAAATTCAACTAAATCGTTCTCCCTGTGTGGTATTTGTTAGACAACGTCTCGAAGTGTTGTAGTTCACTCCAGTAAAATTCCTCCATGAGACGCCCTGAATCCAGATCGCAGCCCCGCTGTTAATCGCGATGCCGCGCGAAGAAACACACGACGGTCATTCTCCTGTCAATTTAGAGATGCACTTACGCGAATATACCTTTTGTCAGAAGTCACTCGGCAAAGATTTGCGAAACAAGTTCGCGGCGATGTCCACGGCGAGCACCGACTGAAGGTGCGCGCGCGTTTCAAGGCAGACTCGCCTCGCGTGTCGCTTCCGCTCTCGCCGATTCCTCGAGCGATCCCGAGGAATTCGATTCTCTGCAGGACGAGTCTCCGGCCGAGTTGCGCGTGGCACGCTCGCTCGTAAACGCGCGGCTCGTTGCCGGCAAGAAATTTGTCGGGAATTCGACGCGCTCCTCGGCGCCGCACGCGCCTTTCATACGCGGCTACGAAAGAGAAAGAGAGAGAGAGAGAGAGAGAGAGAGAGAGAGAGAGAGCGAGCGCGACGGCTGCTGCAACAACGATCGCGCGACGCGCGATAAAACTAGCGGGGTTGGCCCTTTCGCGGCTTATAGAGATGTTCGAGATCGTATCGCGGCCCGCTGCGAGATCTAATGGCTCGCGCCGCGCCGCGCCGCAAGGGCGGCCTTTCCGCCGATATTCAGATACACTCGGGACGATACCATCTACGTGAGTAATATCGTGCAATCGAGAGCTCGCACTGCGAGATTACGCGGCCCGGATTAAACGGCGTTTATCTATCGTCCGGCTCTGCCTTCTCCCGTCGCGCCGGATCGCGCGACAAGATCGCGCCGAGATGGGCCGCGATTTGAGGCCATGTGAGACGTCTGCGAAGCTAGCCCCCCATTTTCATGTCGAATTTTCCAAGTTCAATTAGGGGAACATTTTTTTTTTTTCGAAAAACGGTCAATTTCTTTAGAGTTCTGGTAGCCCCCCGAAGAGTTCTATCGGTTTTCCTCATGACTTGAATCGATTCGAGCAAAAATGAAAGAGTTCTAGCTCACCAAAGTATCGCAGATGCCGAATTTTTTAAGTATTACAATTACAATACAATTGAGAGAAAATTTTTTCTTTTCGACAATTGGTCAGTTTCTTTAGAGTTCTGGTTGCCCCCCGTAAAGTTCTATCGATTATTGTGAAGAATCGTTGAGCTGCGATCGAAGATAAAAAAGTTACAGTCGTTTGAAGTTTCGAAGTGCTAAATTTTCCAAGTCCCTTAGAGGTGAAAACATTTTTTTTTCATAATTTCGGCATTCCATTAAGAGTTCTGGTGTTCGTGTCTGGTCTTCGTGTTTTGACTACTTTAATCAACGGAACTCTTTTTTTTTTATTGATATAGAGAACTCTAAAACTCTTTGGGGGGCAATCAGAACTATGCTCATGTTTTTCAAATTTTCAAAATGGGGGGGGGCTAACTTCATAGACGTTCCTGCGCGCGCAAGTCGTCAACGTAGGACGTCGAAATTCAAGCTAAAGAATCGATCAGGATATTCATTTAGAGACGGAAACGGAGATAGAAAGCGGAAAGTTTGTGTATTCTGAACACAAAGATAAGCTGACTAACTTTGACCGCAGCGAGTAATGAGGACATATTGACGAGTTAAATGACAATTAGAGTAGAAAATAAATGAGGCATCTTAATCCGGATGTCTTATCAAGTATTGATAAAGCTAATTGACGATTGATTCAGCCATCTAAGCTATTACTGCGGAGAACCGGAATTTATAGCCGAAACGAGAGTAAGAGAGAAGTCGCCAGGTTTCTCTCTCTCTCTCTCTCTCTCTCTCTCTCTCTCTCTCTCTCTCTTTTGTCGGCGGACGAGTGATCCACGCGCGGGCGGGACTGTCCGAGAGCTCTTTCCCTTGTCTGGCGTCTTCTTCGCTCGCACTTTTTTCCACTAGCGCGAATTACCAATTTCTCCGAGGCGTCGCGCGGATTCGATCGTCTCGAGCGCGATCCGCGAGGAGGCAGAAGCCGAGCGGGGCCGCCGCGGCAAAAGTGGCAGAAATACGCGCGGGTCGTAACTGTAAATTTTCCCGGCCGCGCGTAGTGCGCGATCCAACTTTCTCCGAAAAAAAGAAAAAGAAAAGAAGAAAAGAAAGGAAGAAAAACGCGCATATCGAACGCGCCGGTTTGTCGAGTTATCGGCCGACACGATCGCGATACCGCGGTGCGCAATATCACACTGTCCCGAGCGGTATAACATCTTGCGCGCATTATATTCCGCGAAGCGTGCAGTGCACACAAACACACACACACAAACACACACACACACCTGTGTGTCCCGTGAGCTGTTTGTGCACGCGCCGATTACCGTGAGATTTGCATAGTTTCCGCCCGCTCTCCACCCTTTCGGCCGAGCCGCCGTAATAATCAACGTTCGATCCTTGTTATCGTACAACGGGGAATATTAATCTAGGAGCTACCTGAAGTCCTTAAAACACACATACACATACACACGGCGCGCGAGCTGCTCGGAATACATTAAATCCCGGGAGTGCTGGCCAAAGTTCCACGAAAGCGACGCGCTCTCTCTCCGAGACGCGCCTGCCGCTCGATCCACGCGTGCTTTCGATCGATAAAGGGAATTTCCGCGCGTTGGTACGTCTGTTGCGCGCGCCGTGTAATTTTCGCTCCGCTCGCTCGCTGACTAATGCATGACGTTTAACCCTTTCGCGTCGGATGCAACACATGCGACGTGTGACGTATCTCTTATCGCGCGGATCGGATCGCGATGCGCGCGCGCGCGCGCGCGCTCTGTAATTACCGGCGTGAGAAGCGGATCCTTTTGCCGAGAAAGAGAGAGAGAGAGAGAGAGAGAGAGAAGGGAGAGAGAGAGAGAGAGAGAGAGAGAGAAAGAGAGAGAGAGAGAGAGAGAGAGAGGCGACCGTGCGCGCGGCCGTGACTCGCCAATGAGAAAGGAGATTCGTCTTCTTTCGTCCCAAGCGCGGCTAATTGATTAACCTCCACTCGGGCTCGCTTCTCTCTGGTAGCAAAAGTTAACGCGATATTACAAACTATTTTACCGGGCCGTAAAGACAGAAACATGAGAGGACTCCTCGTCCTCGCTCGTTAAGCCCCTCTCTGTCTCTGTCTCGCGGTCTAACGGGAGATTCACGCGCGTCCTTTGAGGATCGTTGTCCGCGGGTAAATGTGAAAATTAATCGTCGTACGTCCCGCGGAGTCACGTGTCGAAAAGCGAACGTGCCGGCGAAAGAACTGCGCGGCGCGGCGCGGCGCGGCGCGTCTTCCCGGCGCGCGGAAACGAAAGCCGCCGAGCGAAAGTTCCGCGTATCTAACGGGGAATGAAGGTTGGAAAAGTCGCTCTTTTAAAGCCGACTCGCTTCCCGTCCGCCGGAAAGTGCAAAATTGCCGTTACCGGGGGGAGAGACGGAAGGTAAACACCTCCCCCGCTCCTCCACCCCCCCCCCCGCCGTCAGCGCTTGCTGAACAGAAGCAGCTTGTAGCGTTTGTCATCTCTTGTAACGAGTCATTTTTCTTCGCAACCGGAAAGTTACTTCCCGCGTAAGTAACAGGTGTCGCAAAAAGGACGCGCGGGGTCGGGGATATCGGGAGAAACATCCCGCCTACTCGACACCCGTCCTTAGGACTCCGTCTTTGCGTTGCAATGGGGGTGTTCCGGACACCCATGCTTGGTGTTGGCTCTCATCTTGGAAGTAATTCGCCCGACCTACCCGATCGATTCGATCCGATTCCCGAGGCCTCGCGCCTCGGATAATTAGTAAGCGCGAGGATAATTAACTATCGCGCTCGTCTATATAACACACCGTGCGATAATAACAGCGTTGGTCGTTCGCTTGTTAACAGGACCGTCTGACTGGTCATGGGGGCATTTCCTCGCTGGGCGGCGGCAACTCGTCGCCCTATTCCGGCGCCCATCACCACGGACACCGGGGAAACGGAAACGGGGGCGGTATGCCCCACCACGGGGGCGCCTCGTTGCCGACTGCCTCCGACTTCCAACCACCTTACTTCCCACCCCCGTTCCCCTCGCACCACCATGCGCCCGCCAGCCCCCAGCACCCCAGCCTCGGCCAACCGCAACACCTGGATTACCTCGTCGGCGATCCCTACACGCAAACGCTCAACACGCTGCACCAGCACCACTACAATCACCTGAGCGCCGCCGTCACCGCCGGCCAGAGGAGCGGCGACCTCAGGAGAGACGCCGAGGGCATCCACGTGGTGAGTGTGAACCGAGCTCCGAGCGAGCGCCCCGCGGAAACGCGGACGAACCAAGGAGCGTCGGCGAATCTCTCAATGAATAATCCTAGGACTCCGGGGGCGATTTTGCGTACCGATATTTTCGAACTGTCGAGAGAGAGAGAGAGAGAGAGAGAGAGAGAGACTCTAAGCGTTGTACGTTGACTGAGAACGTCGGCTGGAGGGTTACGCGAAACTTTCGGGGCACGGGCCGCCGGATCGGCTGAGATTAAATAGAAATCGCGTGCGCTGCAAAGAATTCGGACCGCAGAGCGGAGAAACGTGGTCGCGCCGAAAAGCGAATTCCGAGAATTAAGTGCCGCCGAGAGGAAGATCGCGCTCTCATAGGTGTTCGGGCGGAATTTCGCCGACGACGGCCGGCGGGACGGGCAGGAAATAATCGCAGCTGGGTAGGGGGGAGGGGGCACGGCGGAGGGAAGAGGGGCGCGCCAATGTGCGTTTGGGATTACGGGTGTCGGATTCTCGGAATTATACGGTACGAGGTTCGCATTAAATAAAACGCAAAGGTCGTAAATCTACGTATCGTGAATGATAGGCGTCCAAGATGGAGACTGGACGCGCCGTTTATTGGAACGCGCGCGCGCGCGGTAAAAAGCCCAGATTCCTCGGGCGACAAGAACTCGATTCATGTAATATTCAGTCCGTGTTGTTAATTAGGACTATGATCGCCGCCGTTAACGATGCTGGGGATATCACGGTGCCCCGTCGGCGCGACGCTAAACAAATTTATCCGGGTGTCGTCAGATCATTTCGGAGCGCTGCTGGCTTTTAATTTGGGAAGAAGACCAGTTATACGCACGCGCGCGCGTGTGCACCATTAATATGCCGAAACTCGACTTTACGTGGTGGGTCGTGTGAGAGCGGATCGAATATTTCGGATACAGATATGAGACGACGCCATCGCATTGTTTTCAACGAGCGCTCCAACAGATTGCCAGGCGGCGAAAATTTTACAGCGAAAACTACCGTCAAGAATGAAATGAAGTAGAAATGTTTCGACGTTTCGGTTTAATTTATTATTTACAATTTACACTGTATATAGCTTGGAGTTTATTGTTAAAATATTTTTTATTCTCATGAAAAAAGGTATTACTTTGCTCCTTGGCGAGACAAACTCTAACCGGCAGTCTGTTCCTGTATTATTAGAGAACGTGCATTATTATTATTATTATTATTATTATTATTAGCAACTTGAAGAGAACTCACACGAATGAAAGGCTACAGTGAACTCTCTCGGTGAACTCTCAAAACCTGCCGGAGTGGAATTCCGCTCGGAAAGTCGAGTGACAGCGAAGCAGGTCACTCGAATTCTAGCGAATTCTTCACTCGAACTCGCTCGAAATCATCGGGCGAATACTTTCACTCCAAGAATGAGGGGCGGAAACAAATCTATCGCGGTTGATCGAAACTCACGCTCACACTCTCACGGGCTCCACTTCCATTCGAAACATTCACTCTTACTTACCCCGAGAGCGGCGGTATTCCGGCCGCCATGAATGATCGCTCGTCTCGAGCGCGATTTCACTCGCAGAAATTTAGAGAGCACGCCACAGTTCGGCTCTCCCACAAATTCGGCTTCCTCAGCTGCCGGCACGAGAGAGAGAGAGAGAGAGAGAGAGAGACGAGCCGCGCGCGCGCAAACACGGAAATCACGGCGGCCACCGCGACGTGGTGCACGTCGCACCTCTTCCCGGCGAGGAGGAAAACGCCTGGAGATCCGGTCACGTGCGTCGGCCCGGGTACCTCATTAGCGAGCCACCCGGCGTGTTATTTGTAGGCCGTCGTGCGAGCGCGCGCGCCGTCCCGGGCTGGATGTAATAACGGGTGGTATCGATCTATTAGACGAGTCGCGGCCAATAAGTCGTCGCCGTGACATCGGTGATTGCGATCGTTCATCTCCCTCGCGAGCGCGCCCGCGACATTTGCATTTGCCACGCTGCGGCGGAGTCGGCCGCGCGTGTAATGCCCGCTCGCTCGCTCGCTCGCTCTCTCTCTCTCTCTCTCTCTCTCGCGCCCTACGTGGCCCTACGCCGGTCGGCGAGCAAGGCGAGTAATATCGCGACCTTGGCGAGCGCACCCGCGAATCTCGCCCGAGTGCCCGTCGAAGTGGAGTGGAATTCATTTTATCCCCAAGGGGTGGCAACCCCTTGGGATTTTGCTGCCCAGTTGATTGACACAAGTTCTAACGGCCGGCAAAATTGCGCGATTCTTGCGCTGCAAGAAAAGACGATCGAGAAAATCCGAAGCTAGCGATTAGTCCTCGAGACTAATGAAACTAAGAGCCTACCTCATAGTGAGTTTATGCCGGGGGATTTTTTCAGAATGTAACACAAGTACGTGAAAGTGAGGAAGGTGATAGTACCGATTCGGCACGATTATGCCAGACATCAAGGATTATAAAAAGGAACAGAGAGAGGGGGTGGAGGTACGACAGCGGGAGGCTGCTCGCTTCTTGAATTGCGAAGCGTTCATTCGAGCCGCGATTTTACAATTTTATTGATAGTAAAACGGTTCTAAGACGGTCCGGACGGAATGCTTGAAACCGGCGAGCGAGGAGGGGGGAACTAAACTGAGAGACGACTGAAACTACCATCGAAATTCGGGTGTCACGAGCGAGGAAACGAACGCAGGGTACATCCACGTTTATCTGCCCCGTGAAACTGAACGGTTCTTTCGTTGAACCTGAGAGAGAGAGAGAGAGAGAGAGAGAGAGAGAGAGAGAGAGAGAGAGAGAGAGAGAGAGAGAGAGAGACAGAGAGGGAGAGAGAGGGAAAGAGAGAGAGAGAGAGCGAGCGAGCGAGCGAGCGAGCCCGAAATACTAGTAACATAGGGGAGCGCGCATAGCGCTCGCGAGATTGATTTTATGCTCGACTCGCCGGCGTTCACGGCGTGCAACATTATACCCAAACGTCGGGCGATCTCTCTGCGCTTTAGAGCCCTAATAACCATTATAGCAATAGTATTTGCGGTCCACCTTGCTCCCCCGGTATTCACGAGAACACCGCCCTAATTATCGCGTCGGCACACGCGCGCTACCGCCGTCGTTTCTATGCCGGATTACGGCCCGGCTCGACCGAAAGAAGAGGTGTCGTGTGACGCGTGCGGCAGGAAAGAAGGAAAATACGTTCGACGAAATTCGACACGTGTGCGACACGAATGCGTTGCCCGACGTGCCCGGCCATTTTTCGCACACCTCCAAGTCGAGCGAGCGGAGCGAGAGCGGAGGAGAGCGGTTTGTCCGCGGAGAGCATCTGTCCGGAGAGAACAGGAGAAAGGGACGAGAGGGACGAAGAGAAGAGCATATGCGGGCCTCGAGAATCGGCCCGTCGTTGCGAGTCGCGTTTTACGTCGTGATTATTTTCTGCCCGCTAATGTAATCTGCGCATCGCGTCGCGGAACGTCGCGGAAAAGCTTCAGCTCGCGCGAACACCTCGCCGGTCGAAGACGATCTTTTGCCCGCGACGTCATTCTCCTCGAAAGAAAAACGAAAGGAAAAAAGAGAAACCGTCCGCGTCGGTTGCGCAATGAAAGCAGGCAGGGCTCGGAGCGAAGGAAGGTGATCGACAGCGTCAAACAGCGCCAAGAAAAAAAAAAAGGAGGGCAAAGATTGTGCGTAGCGCTAGCGGCTCAATTACGCGCGCTATTATATGCGATGCAATGCAATGCGATGCGATGCAATGCGGGCAGCACGAGGATGTCATGTTTGTATACGTCTGTAAACAAGTTTATCGCGCGCATAATCGACCGCTTGCCTTGCGCTTAACCGCGATAGGCTGTTAATCAATTAATAAACCGCACACCGGGAAGCGAATGATCGCGAGAAGAAAAAAGGAATTTCAATCTAATTCGAGTATCGCGATATCACGGTAAACTCGACTTTTTCCTCTCTCCTCCCCCTTCCCTCCTCTCTCTCTCTCTCTCTCTCTCTCTCTCTCTCTCTCACTCTTTCGCTTTCTCTCCTTCTCGTGTAAACGGTTCCATCGAGGTTGACGAGAGCCGGCATGGAAAACTCGGGATCCAACAGACTTCCCATTCCGATTTCTCACAAAAAGGAAAAAGGAATCTATATATTAGGTGTACAAATGAATAATCGAAATTATTTTAAGCAGTTATGAAATCAATTTTAAATTGAATAGATTTTCCCGCTCTTTTGTGATTATGCAATGTTGACTTATAGCTATTAAAAAGAATATATAGTTTGGCGAAAGGCCCAACCATAACCTTCAAAAGTATTCAGTTCAGTACAGTCGAAAATGGCAACAGATAAGGTGCATATCCGACACTGCATTCTTTACGAATTCCAACAAGGAAAAGATGCTGCAAGAGCGTGCGAATCGATTTGTTCCTTCCTCGGCGAAGGTGTCGTATCGTACGATGTGTGCGCGTTTTGGTTTAAGCGGTTTAAAAGCGGTCTAATTTCAGTCTAATCGACAAACAACGCCCTGGAGGCCCTCCGAAGTGCGATAATGATGATTTGGAACAACTGCTCGCTGAGAATTCGGCACAAACGCAAAAAGAGCTTGCACAACAGTTGGGAGTAACGCAGCAAACGATTTCCAAACGCCTACATGAGATGGGAAAGAAAGAAGGAAAATGGGTTCCGCATGAACTCACTGAAACTAACAAAAATCAACGAGCGGCAGCGTGTCTTTCTCTTCTCAATAAGCAGCGTCGAGAGCAGCTTTCTTGTGGAAAATCGTTACGGGCGATGAGAAATGGATACTCTATGACAATCCGAAACGGAGAAAGTCATGGGTAAATCCCGGCGAATCATCAAAATCGATCGCAAAACCCAATCGCTTCGGAAAGAAGGTTCTTCTCTGCATTTGGTGGGATATCAAGGGCGTGCTTTATTATGAGTTGTTGGAACCGGGTGAAACAGTTACTGCGCGGACTGCTACCAACGTCAATTAATCTGCTTGAGTCAAGAATTGGAACGAAAACGCCGTATACTGGCAAAG